TAAAAAGCACTGCTTCTTTATAAGTTCTTTTTTGAGAACATCACAGATGTAGCATTAATTATAACTGGCTTCCTTAACAACACAATGCTAATGTTCTACAGAATGCCACAGAGCACACAAAACACACTTGTTTTTTTTTTTTTTTTTTTACAAAAATTCAGCTTTAGCTAGAATGATCCATGAATGTAAAAATGTCAGAGAATAGAAAGTGAGTGCAGTGAACAACTACTTTAAAAGTAACGTTACATTCACCTTCTCAAAGTGTTGCCGGGAGAGAAGCACGGGACTGTTAGACTGTGGGCTCTTATTGAAGGAGGGGCTATATTTGTCAGCATTTTTCCATTCAGGATACTTTCTTTCCCCTTGATTATTGTGATAGGCACAGGCACGGCGGAGACGATCTGCTCCCAGACTAACAGCTGTCCGTCCACACATTCTTCCACAGTACACACAAAACAGTGGCCTACAAAACAGTGTTTTAGGAACATATGTATCTGGAAATCAATTCATTTCATACATTTCTAATGATCACTATTAATTAAACATGTAAACCACCCAATTCTCAATGACTCTAGGCAGCTCACAACAAAGAAATTACAATAAACTCAATAAAACAGAAAAAATAAAGCTAAAGGTGGCAAGCATAACAAAGTGAGGGGGTCTCATTCTCCCTCACTGAAGCGCTGAGTGAAAAACTACTTTCTATTTCACGCTGCAGTTCTGAAGTGTTGCTGCTTCACCACACTTTCCATGAATTTGCTACATCATCGTTAGAAGACTCCACAGTAATAAGTGAATAATAAAATTAAAAAGTAAAATTAGCAAGACATTATCTCAATACAAATAGAACAAGTAACAGCCTCCAGATGTGTCAATTAGGCCTTAAACTTTCTCTCTTGTTAGTCTGCATCGTGAAGAAGTCGACCCTGTTTGAAAAGGCCAATTCTGATGAAGATCCCTGCAGGGAAGACCAGTGCAAACCATTAATTCAGCTTCTCTGGGGATCCTTTGTGCCCCTTTGGTTCACCGTTAAAACTCTTACCACCCAACTCCCTTCTGTTCAAAAAAGAGGAGCCTCATGCAGACAATAAATCGTTAGAGACCAGAAATTTTGGAAGAGATGCTTCTTCAGCACCTTAGGCTTCTCCACCTCTCCTCCTCTTCCCTGGTTCAGGCACCAGAAAGAGTACAAGCCGCACCTGGAAGAAAGCTAGCAAGAAAAGGCGCGCGGACGTTTTCTTACCGGAGGTACCGAGGGTTGAAAGAAAGAGATTTGGGGCTCACCAGGACCAGCTACACAGAAGGCTTCCCTAGCACGTCAGAAATCATTTCCGCAGCCCCGCCGTCGTCGCCCCTTTCAGCCTCCCGGGTTCGGCCGCGACGAGGACAAAAAGGGAGTCTCCTCTGATGGGGAAACTCGGGCCTCCCCGCCCGGGTTTTCCCGCCTCCCGGCGTTCCTCTCCCTAAGCCTCTGGCGGTCGACCCGGCCGGGGGTTCCTGTTGTAGCTCAGCTTGTTGTTCAAACGCCGCCTCGGAAGTCCGCCGCTCACCTCCGCTCGGCTCCGCAGCCAAGCCCAACGGGGGCCGGCAGCCAATTTCCACTACCACCCCCGCGCCTTTGAAGCGCGGAAAGGCCTCCGCCCTCTCGCGGAGACGCGCGTTCTCCCCGTCGGTGCGCACTGCTTCCAGGTCTTAATCCCGGAAACTTTTTTTTTAATGTCAAAGCGATCCTGAAGAGCATTTCTGCCTGTGCTGGTCTGCTTCCCCCGCTCCGGCTCGGGAAGCAGAACTTAATTCCCAGACTTAAGTGCCTAGAAATCAGGATATGAATAGGCCGGGTGGGGGCGGGAGGGATTACGGTTCAAAAGTCAAGACAGGAGAATCCTTCTAGGATCACATACCTGTACAGACATATATCTACTAATAAACATCCATTATATATATATATATGTCACTCCTCTCTATTTCGTAGCGTCTTTACAGAAGTATCTTAACTCCACGTGTAACGTTTGTGTCAGAACTACAATGCTTGGAGTGCAAAGCTCCGGACGCCCGCTAGGTACATATGAACGAACAAACAAACATTTCTAACTCTCTGCTGCCAATCTATGGTCATCCATATGTCTACAACCCAGGTATAGTAGCTGTAGGTTATAATTAAATGCATATTGTCAATTTGTTGCCAGCTTTTCTTTTAATCATTCCTGAAAAAAATCAAACGAGCCAGTACATTCAGTGAGCATGCTTCAATATGTCCTTAAAAACTTTATTATAGTTTTTACTACAGCTTCCACTTTTAAATCAGAAGGGCTGATTTAAGAGTAAAATATTATACAGAAGTGGAATTGTGACTATTCTGTTTGCCCCAGGGAAAACAGTGTAAGGGCTGATGCACTGAGGCGACCATTCACTGCTACACTTCCTTAAAATAGACTGTTTCTGTAGCCTAGGGCTGAAACTCATTTGGCCTGCATTTGCAGTGTTTTGCAAATTACTATGAGACCATAATTCCCTTTCCATAAGCTACAAAATTGTATTTTGTTCCTGTCATGGAATTGATGAGACAGTACGGTGTGAGATACATGCTTTAATGTCTGAGATACTGTACATGGTTTAAATTCAAAGACATTTTCTATGCAAATTGAATTTAGGCCTACAATAAAAACTGATACATGTTATAGCATTACTGATTTAAAGTTAATTATAATATATATATTTTACTGATGTTGTTAGTTGCTTCCAACTTTTAGTGATTGTCAGCAATTGCTTCTTTCAATTCTTGTAAACTCATGCTGTATCATCAGCAATAATATCTAGCCACCTTGAGCTCTGTTGGCCTCTTTTGTCTTTATCTTATGTTGTCTTTGGTTTTTCCAAGCATGAAGGACTTCTCCAATGATTCATATTATGCATCCCAAATACTTAAGCTTTTGTTTCCTGATTAGTGCTTCCAGGGAGCAGTCTGATTTTACTGTATCTGGTATTAAATGATTTGCTCTTATTGCTGTCCATGGCATTCTCAACCATTTTCTTCAACACTGTAATTCAAAGGCATCAGTTTTTCATTAGTTTTTCTGATGATCCAACTTTCGCAGCCTAAATTATTTTGTTGCTCTTCTTTCACCTTCAACAAAAGACCCCTTAAGTCTTCCTTGTTTCCAGCAGCCAAAATGGAAATATTAACATATCTGAGGTTGTTAGTACTGTACAGTATTTCTTTCAGCAATTATGACGACAAATTTCTGTTTCTTCTAGTCCAACATTTCTCTTTATAAACCATGCATTTAAATTAGATATATCGGTTAGCAGTATATAACTTTGGCACACTCCTTTCTTAATTTTGAACCAATTAGTTGTTCCATATTCCATTCCTAACAGACAGTCCGTCTGTCATTCCTACTGTTGCTTTCTGATTAGCATACACATTCTGCAGTACAGAAAAGATGGCCAGTACACCCATGTTTTAAAGGGTTGCCCCAATTCCCAAGTGATAGTATGATAAATATAGCAAAAATAAGCCTCTTTGGGGAGTTCTTGCCCTTTCCATTTATGTATCATGTTAGCAATGTGACTGAAGGTGCATTTGCCTCTTTTGATTCCAGCTTGTACATCTGGCAGTTTCTGTTCAATGAATTGTTATCTTGCTAGCATGTGAAATATGCAATTGTGAGGTAGCTGAAACATTTTTTAGCACTGCCTTTCTTGGTACTAGAATACAGTTCTCTGGCCAAGCTGTTTCCATACCTGTTTACCAATTACAAGCAGCACTTTAACAGCATAATTTTGCAAGATTGTAAACCAGGGTTCCCCAAAGTGGTCAATATCAACCCCCATGGGCTGATGGGACTATCCAAGGGGTTGTTGTTATTTGTAGTACTATTAGTTAAAGTAGCATTTATTAAAATCGTATTTATTATTTTTACATGATGTTTGGGGGTCAATGAACAATCTGAAACTTCATGAAGGGGTTGATAAGCTGAAGAGTTTGGGGACCCCAGTACTAAACAGTTCTGCTGGCATTTCATCAACTCCTGCAACTTCGTTGTCAGCGATATTTTATAGGGCCCATTGAACTACACTTTACAAAATATTTGGGTCTAGCTTTATACCTATCAGCAACTTGGGGGGCTTTTTTGTATAGTTATTCCATGTATGCACACCATCTCTTCTTTATCTCTGTTAGATCTCTACCTTCTTTGTATTTTATTTATCCTTCTTTACACTATTTAGATATATATCTCTGCCTCTTATTTTTTTCTAGAATTAGACATTGTAGGGAAAAATTTTCCCTGTCCCTGTTGCTTTTGCTTTTCACCTTACCTCAACTATTTTTAATGAATCAGTAGAAAGCTATTGCACCTTATTTTGTTCTTTTACAAGGCAGAATATTTTTCATTCTTCATCTTTAATGATATCATGAATTTTGGTTCAGAGTTCTTCAGGCACTCTATCAAATCTAATTCACTCTATCAAATCTAATTCATTCAGTCTAAACTTTCCCTTTATTGCATAATCATATGGAATATTGCTCAGGTAATATCTTGTTAATCTGACAGATTTTATTTTTTTTTAAGTTTAAATTGAAATTTTGCAAGAAGTCCATGATCAGAGCTGCAGTCAGCACTGAACAAAACTCTAGTTTTGCTTGCACAGTATATAATCAGTTCTATCTCAGTGTTGTCCATCCACCAATGAACAAAATATAAGATTCCTAATTTATACAAATTCTCTATGTTGTACAAAATCTGTAAAGTCCTTACACTTTGAAGGATATCAGGTTGCAGAAGGCTAGATTAAAACTTCGTTGAATGTACAATCTTAACATAATGGGTGATCTTATATCCCTATCCTAATCTATTTCTTCTAAAACCATAGAGAACTGAAATGCAGTAGTATACAACTCATTTTGTCACAACTCTGATGACTAACTATGTAAATTATAAGAATGTTAAACACTGTTTATTCTTTCATTATGGGGCACATTTATGTATAAAATCTAGTCAGAGTAGAACAAAGCACAGTACCAGCCTTTACAAAATCAAGCTCAACCACAGTAGTAGATGCCCAGTCATAGAATAATTTAGGCTGTTTTACTGAAACAAATGACTTTCAGAAATGTGAAGCAATATGAACATGAGCAATTTCCTTGAACATCCCCTTTTCTAAATATTGTGCAATACAGAAAAATGATATGATTTGGAACTAAGTGAGGGATGCTTCAGCATTTTCTCATTCTGTTTTTCTACTCTAGATTACATACCAGTTTCTTAGTCAGATTAATATTCCTGATTCTTCCTCACCCTAGCACTTCTCCAGTTCAGGCTCTCTATGGATGATGCCAACTATTTGAAAATGAAGGCAATTTTGATATAAATCAACCAAATCAACTAGATCTGTGTGTTGTGAATGTCTTTTCAGTTTCATTTGGGCAAGAGAGAAAATTTATTTACTTTCATATTCTTGAGAATAGCAGTGTTGCTGAAAGAAAATCCATATTTTTATTTTATCATATGTATGAAAGGGCTTAGAAAGATCATAAGTATAACAATTGCCCCAATTGTAAAGGGTCTCCCTAATCACATAATGGGTCTGAGACACTGTAACCAGAACAGGAGCTGGCACAAAGTACTATAGTGTTCTTAGGCACCTTGGTATAAAAGGGGTGCTCTTTTGAAGTAGCCTGGCAATCATGAAGAAATAACTAATTCAATATTTCACAGAAACATTCTTGTGGTTATAAACCTACACACTTTGCTTTCATTTCCAATTACAGAAAGAACTGATGCCAGTGTTCTAGTATTTCTCCCAATGTCCAGAGCAGTGAAAAGAGATCTCTAACCCTCCCTTCAGCCTTGGAGTCAAACAGGTAGCCTTAAAATGTGTTTAACCAACAGAAGCCATGACAACATCCACAGGAAGTTCTTCTCTACTCCGAGCCGTGACTTGCATCGTCACAGAGTCTGTGAGGACAAGGCGAGAACGAACCAAGAGGTCATGGCCGCCTCGAAATACACCTGTAGCAGATCAAAGACAGTAACATTTTCATCAGCATGTATGGCTAGAACTATTCTTCCACTCTTGAAGTCTGGAGGTTGAATCATGGCAACTGGACTTTTCTTTTTGGTTAGAGATGTTTCAGTACTTGTCCAAGCAGCTTCTTCAGTCTACAAAAGTTGGTTAGGGGGACCCCATTAAATTCTTCCAGGGTGGCTGTGTTTCTTACTAGCATGACAGGCTCGTTGAAGGGACCATAAGAGATGTGATTAGTAGAGTATTTGAGATGTAGATGTCTTACTCCTAGTCTCTCACTCATCCCCAGGGGGATGTTAAGTGTTGCCTTCCTGGTGAACTTTTGAACTGTTCTT